TAGTTCCTGTTTATATGTAAACCCCCTTTTGTCTTCATGGTTCAATAGTTTATAGAATAAAGTTTCGAATCAATAAAACAAAAGAGATTCAAATATAGACATGAACTAATATACAGATTTGTTTTTGTCCGAATTAACACGATCAGAAATGTCGGAGGGTGATTTTCAAGGCAAAGACTCCAAATGGTATGATTAGCCTTTAAACCTGTTACCAAGCATGTATGTAAATTTTTAATTGTAAATACACAGGTGACGTTTTTTTACAGCCACTTTAGAGCTTATACGCTACGTTATATAACGATAATATGCCTTTCATATATGAACAATGGATAAAAAAAAAAACATTAAATTATCTAAATGATATTGAACCTACTAAAAAGCCTATGAGAGCTCAAGTATTAGAGGTATGTTCTTGTAAGCAATATTTGATGCCCCTCGAATCCATTTAAGTTTAAAAAAAAATGAACACGTTAAAAACGATAAAATTTTTTTAGGTTTCTACAATTCGATTGGAAACAGATTATTTGAAAGAAAAAGTCTATGCCAAAATCCACGATAAAGAACTTTGCATTCGATGTTTCTTTAGTGAAGAATGTCTTCAAAAATTTGAAAGGTATTTTATTTTCTTATATGCATAATTTTGGATTAACATTTTTTTGGTTTATCGAATCTGCGGATCTATGCACTAATTTATATTAAAATTGACTCAAGTGAACGAAAATTGCCTATAAATTCATTAAAGGGTTGCCATATCATAATTTACGAATTCTCTTTTCAATTCATAAAAGATTTCTCTATAAAATCTCCCGGTTACGATTGTTTTCTAAACATCAAAAGGTTCAATTATTCAACCAATGTTTCCGATGGACTCGATAGACTTAATATGAAGGAACTTTACGAAGATGAAGACCTTAAAGACGCGTTAAGGAAACGATATGAAATACTTTATCCGTTTTCTAATCCTAGGTGGATTTTGGATCAAAATCCCAAACAACAGATTATCGAAAGAACATAACATCGACCAAATTGGCCAGCATTATAGCTAGTGCCGGCTAACTTTGTCGGTATTATGTTCTTTCGGGGATCCGTTTTTCGGATATTCTCCTGGGTGGGGTAGTAACGAGTTCGAGTCATAAATTTTTTAACTCACGAGTACTCACGAGTTAATTATTTGCATTAATAAATTTTGTAAGCTGCATAAATAATGTCGTAATTTTAACATAATTATATGTAATTCTTTAAAATGTAAAAAAACTACGTACGTAATTTATTGCAGTCGCAAATTTTTAATAAAAATAAGGGAATTTAAAAGACTTAAAAACAATTTCATAATATAAACATGGAGCTAAACAAAAGCACTAATAAACGGGAAGAATCTTGTAATAAAGAGAATGTCAAAACACAACTAC